GTTGACATGTTGTGGGGTTGTTAACCAATGTCATAATACAACATGTGTACTACTGTTTCATGAGAAACTATTTGTTCTGTAAGCCTTCACCTGAAATGCAATAAAAAGAGAAAAAATTCACTCATTATAAAAAATTTAAATAATACAGAAAGATGAAGCAGACAACAACCATCACTGTTCTTGATGCCTTCCGGACATCTCCATGTGCATGTATATATATACAGTATTTTATAAATAGGATCATATCATATATGCTGTCTTATAGTCTTCCTTTTTCACAAACTGTATCTTAGATAACTTTCCATGTCAATAAATATAGATACATTATTTATAATAACTGCATTGTAGCCCATTGTTTGAATTTTTAGGTAGAATCCAATTTGTTGCTACTACAAAAAACGCTGTGGTAAGTATTCTCATTTACATACAGGTTCGAGCACACAAATGATAAATTTATGGAACTAAAATTGCTGGCATAAAAGATGTGGGTGTGCACACGTTTACATGGTGATATGTACTACCAAACTACCCTTTAAGAAAAGCTGTATAAGTGGCATGTCATTGTTTTATTGAGACTCTTAAGTTCCATGTCTGTTCCTTATGCAGTGCCATGTATTCAGTGAAACGTCAAGAAATAAAAGTTGGTGGTGTAGCCAGCCCAGATCTACTAATTTATCAGGTATTCTTTTCAGGGAGACTTGCAGCTCCTCTGCTGAAACGTTTGAGCCTCTCCACATCTAAACTGAACAGTCTGGCCATCGGTCTGCGGCAGATTGCAGCCTCCTCACAGGACAGTGTGGGGCGTATTTTGCGCCGGACCCGAATTGCCAAAAACTTGGAACTAGAACAAGTGACTGTCCCCATTGGAGTTCTACTGGTGATCTTTGAGTCTCGCCCTGACTGTCTGCCCCAGGTATCTGACTAATGCCCTGCCATCGGGGTGGGAGGAATTGGATGTTTTCAGTATTGCAGATGTCTCTCAGAGATAATTTTTAAGACTCCTCAGGTTCTTCTTAAGGTATATTATGTTATTGATTCTTCCAGTAATCCTAAAGTAGTTATCATCTCCATTTACCATTTACTGAAGCTTATAGAAGTTAGTATTCTTAACGCTAGTAGTAAGGGTGGTAAGGGTGGAGCTGGGACTCCAGCCCAGGTCCATCTACTGTACTACATTGCAGGAGCAAATTTAAAACACCCTAGCTCACTAATGTGCTTCATTCTCTGACCACAGAGTCTCTGCTGGCTTACTTAGGGTCATTCATTCATTAACTAACTGGCTTTGCCCATGTGAAAAAACTCCTTTATTATCAGTGTCACAAATAGCTTCCTGTAGATAAATGGAGAACAAAATTCTAACTCACAAAAAAAAGACCAGACTTACTGGTCTGACAGAGACTAGAGAAACCCAGAGAGTATGGCCCCCGGACACCCTTTTAACTCAGTACTGAATTCACTCCTGAGGTTCACCCTTGAGCCAAAGATTAGACAGGCCCATAAAACAAAACGAGACTGAATGGGCACACCACCCCAGGGCAAGGAGGAAAAGGCAGGAAGGGACAGGAGAGTTGGTAATGGGGAACCCAGGGTCGAGAAGAGGAGAGTGTTGACACATCGTGGGGTTGGCAACCAATGTCACAAAACAATATGTGTATTAATTGTTTAATGAGAAACTCATTTGCTCTGTAAACCTTCACCTAAAGCACAGAAAAAACCAAATAGCTTCCTGTAGGTACATTTTTTTAGTAAAGAGAGAGAACTTTTCAGTAGTTAATGAAAATGAGAATGCACCGGTCTTTAAGGAAGTTGACATATCACGGATTAGTGTTCAGAAATCATGTGTTGAACTTTTATCAAACGATCATGCCCTGAAATATCAGGTGGCATTAGAGAGTGGCCTTCCTTACCTGGGACCATTTCTCCATTGGATGTTCCACTAGGATAATACATACTCTTTCTTTGCTCTAACCCAAAGTCTCAAAGAGAAATTCTACTTAAAAACATAGCACCTCTTTAGTGTAGAGCATAGGTGACCATGGAAGTCCAGAATGCTCTGTGGAGGTTACTCTCTGATGTGACCTAAACCAGATTATTCACCAAGGAACTCCCATACCATTAGGCTCTGTCGTCAGCCCCTGTCTGGTGTTAGCATACCACAACCTTCTGTCCATATACCTGTCTTGCAGAAATGCTCTAGTAATGACTGCAAAACTCTCCTCTGCTAATAGAAATGGGTCCTAGGGCCCTGTGGGCTACCTTTCATCCATATGAGGTGATACTTCACAAGGGAGTTTGAGGTTTCTTCCTCAGCCAACCACAGCTGAGGTTCCTCATCTGGGATCTCAAGCACAGATGCCTTCATAGAATCCATGCATCCTAAAAGCTGTAGGTAAAAGAATTCTGTGTTTTTGTGCATTTATCTGGAGGAAGTTTGCATAACTTTTATAAGGGGTCCATGAGCAAAACAAAAACGGATTAAGAATCACTAATCTGGAGATTAGCATATTCAAGCAAGGATTTTTTTAGTAGTTTCCTTCACTAAATTACAAAAACAGGAAGATTCTCATTTATCCCAAGAGCATTCAGAAAGTTAAACTTCACGCTGAAGATCAGGTCAGTATCACTCTCCAAGGATAACTAACCCTCCTCCTGGATGGCCTACCTTTTCCTCCCCAAACAGGCTTGGTGCTCCTTTCCCAGTAGTCTCTGCATAAGCCGCCCAGGGGTGGGCAGGAGCTCTAATCATCTCTAGGTTCTCAGCACCAGGAATTTGAAGTGCTCAAATCAGTTATAGGGCCAGAGGAGGATGTGAGCAGAAGTGCTCCCCTGCCTCAGCCTGAGTCACTTCCATGCACTTCCCTGCAGACGCAGCTGAGCGCTCTGTTTTCCACAGTGGCCAAAGTGGGGGTGGGGGGTGGCACTGTAACCCTGGCCAGTTAAGTCAGGTTGCTTTGCTGCTGGTGCTAAGGAAGCCACATAGTTTAGCGTATAAGGTCCAGGGTGATTTGGCTCTGGAGTCAAGCCACCTGGGTATGACTCCCAGTCCTACCATTTACAAGTTCTGTAAGCTTGAGGAGTCACCGACTTCCCTAGGCTTCGGTTTCCTTACCTGTAAGATGGGGAATAAAACAGGTACTTGTTTCACTGGAGTGTTGTAAGGATTAAACAGGCTCACTTACCACACTCATCCGTTGCCGTGGAGTTGATTCTGACTCATAGCGACCCTAAAGGACAGAGCAGAACTGCCCCAAAGGGTTTCCAAGGCTATAATCTTTACAGAAACAGACTGCCACATCTTTCTCCCATGTAGTGGCTGGTGGGTTCAAATCGCTGACCTTTCAGTTAGCAGCCGAGTGCTTTAACCAGTATGCCATTAGGACTCTGAAACAGGCTAAGCCTTATAAAATGAGTAACACAGTGTGTAGCACAGAAAAGTGCTCAATAAATGCTAATGTTATTGTTAGTGTCATTTTTTCCTCCTTTGATTCACTGTTCTCCCCTTTGATCTGCAGGTGGCAGCCTTGGCTATTGCAAGTGGTAATGGCTTGTTACTCAAAGGGGGGAAAGAGGCCTCACACAGCAACCGGTTTCTTCATCTTCTGACCCAGGAGGCCCTCTCTATCCATGGAGTCAAGGAGGCTGTACAGCTGGTAGGGCCAGGTCGGGCCCAGTGGGGCCGGGTTGGGTCTTCGGTTGTTTGAAGCAGAGTTCAGGCTGTGTAGGGCCAGGGCACTCTGACAGGTAGGCTTGACTGGAGCAGCGACAGGTACTAAGTGCCTGCTAATACGGGGTATTAGCCACTGGCATTAGGCCATTTTGCAGAGCCAGGGGCCCCTTGTTGGGTCTTCAGTGGCTTAAGGCTACTTCCGTACACTCTTTGGCTATTTATTTACAGGAAAGTTGATTAGACCTTCATTCTTTGGGTCACAGGGCAGCAGGAATACCAGGCCAAGAGTGGGAGGCCTGGGTTCTTCTGACTGGGAGAGCAGTTTAGGGCAAGTCAGGTAAGATAAATTTTATGAAAGTTTGTCATGAACCATTGTGCAGCATGTAAATATGAGATTATACTGTCATCACTGTTACTATGGTCTTATGTTCACCATTTTTTAAACCAAACTTTGCCTCTCCTCAACTGTCAAATGAGGTTTTTGAAGTAGTAGCCAAAATTTATTGAGCATCTGCTATGTGGCAGACACTTTTCATCAATTTTCTCATTTAATTATCTCTTTTGATGCTTCCTGCATTATTCAGTATTTTGCCCATAGAATCCTTCAGAATTGCAACTCGAGGCTTGAATTTTTTCTTCAGTTCTTTCAGCTTGAGAAATGCCAAGTGCGTTCTTCCTTTTTGGTTTTCTAGCTCCAGGTCTTTGCACATTTCATTATAATACTTTACTTTGTCCTATCGAGCCACCCTTTGAAATCTTCTGTTCAGCTCTTTTACTTCATCATTTCTTCCATTCACTTTAGCTACTGAATGTTTCAGAGTTTCTTCTGACATCCATTTTGGTCTTTTCATTCTCTCCTATCTTTTTAATGACCTTTTGCTTTCTTCATGTATGATGTCCTTGATGTTATCCCATAATTCGTCTGGTCTTTGGTCATTAGTGTTCGATGCATCAAATCTATTGTTGAGATGGTCTCTGAATTCAGGTGGGGGTATACTCAAGGCTGTACTTCGACTCTTGTGGACTTGTTTTAATTTTCTTTAGCTTCAACCTAAATTTGCATATGAGCAATTGATGGTGTGTTTCACAGTTGGCCCCTGGCCTTGTTCTGACTAATGATATTGAGCTTCTCCATAGTCTTTTCCACAGATGTAATGGATTTGATTCCTGTATATTCCACCTGGTTAGGTCCTTGTGTATAGTCGCTGTTTATGTTGTTGAAAAAACGTATTTCCAGTGAATAGGTCGTTGGTCTTGCAAAATTCTATCATGTAATCTCTGGCATTGTTTCTGTCACCAAGGTCGTATTTTCCAACTACTGATCCTTATTCTTTGTTTCCACCTTTCACATTCTAATCACCAGTAATTATCAATGCATCTTGGTTGCATGTTTGATCAATTTCAGACTGCAGAAGTTGGTAAAAATCTTCAATTTCCTCATCTTTGTCATTAGTGATTGGTGCATAGATTTAAATAATAGTCGTATTAACTGGTCTTGCCTGTAGGCACATGGATATTATCATATCACTGACAGCATTGTACTTCAGGATAGATCTTGAAATGTTCTTTTTGACAATGAACATGATGCCATTCCTCTTCAGTTTGTCGTTTCTGGCATAGTAGACCATGTGATTGTCTGATTCAAAATGGCCAATACCGGTTCATTTCAGCTCACTAATGCCTAGGATATGTATCTTAAAGCATTCCATTTCATGAGCATATGGGAGTGGGGAGGGGGTTAAAAATCAAGAAGTGGGGGAAAAATATGCCTATAATCTTAGTGTCCTAACACAAGCACTTTAGTAATTCCAACCAGCATCCACCATAGAGGTGGTCAGTGGAAGTCATGAAGAACCATGACTCCCTGGCAAGACCCAACATTTCATTAAGGCTGTGACTGGAGAACCCACGGAGCAGCCGCTGCCTTTGGTGATCCTCATAGCCTAGTATACTCTATACCACCTTTAACTTGCATAGATAATGCTTTGTTTATACCTCTTCTGCATTTATTAAATTATCTGCCTTGTGTTGTAGCTATTTGTGTCCTACTCCTGTCTTCCCTTCTAGACTTTGAGCTTGTTGAGGGTGGGGACTGTGCGTGATCTGCACACTGTAATGCAGAGCCCAGCACCTAATGTGTAGATGCTTGATAACCATTTGCTGGCAGCTTCTTGATTCCCAGGATCAGCAACTTAATCCTGTTTTTAGAATATGTTTTCACAGTTCCTAATTTAGTCCTCAGGGTGTGCAGACATGCATCTGTAGAAGGGAGGCTGCTCTTCTTACATTTTGTGTGGTCAGGAGATGTCATCTTCAGCTTTTTCTTCTCTGCCTCTTCAGGTGAATACCAGAGAAGAAGTGGAAGATCTTTGCCGCCTAGACAAAATGATAGATCTGATCATCCCACGTGGCTCTTCCCAGCTGGTCAGAGACATCCAGAAAGCGGCTAAGGGGATTCCAGTGATGGGACACAGTGAAGGGATCTGCCACATGTATGTGGATTCAGAGGCCAGTGTCGACAAGGTCACCAGACTTGGTGAGCTGGAGTCTTCTGTTTTTCGGGGTGAAATATTCGTCGGGTCATTTGTGGCTCTGGATCACATTATTATAAACACATCTTTGTTCTCCTGTTTTCAGTCAGAGACTCTAAATGTGAATATCCAGCTGCCTGCAACGCTTTGGAGACTTTGCTAATCCACCGAGATCTGCTGAGAACACCATTGTTTGACCAGATCATTGACATGCTGAGAGTGGAGCAGGTAAGACAAAGCCATAGAACTGTACGTCACTTCTTGTCTTCCATTTTGAGACTTAGAAACCTGCGGGATTTGTGCTTGCCAGCTAGCCAGGAGTAGCTGCCATTCCATTTAAGGCGATTTAAAAAACATATTTTTGAGCATCTGCTCTGCACAAGTTCTGTGCTAAGTACAGAGGTGAGTAAGACATGACCTCTGTCCTCTCAAAGTTTAGTAGGTAGAACAAACTGATACACAAATAGCTTTATTACAAAGTGGAATGTGTTAAGTGCTAAGAGGGTTCAAAGATAAGAGAGATCACATAGTAGCATGCTGAATGGACTATTTTTGCTTAAGAAAGGCAGCAAAGTTTAAAGTTTATGTTTCTGAACACACTTTTTTAAAATTGGATTTGAAAAGATTGCAGAGATGTTTTCAAACCAAAAATTCATAGGCTTTCACCCCCTCCAAAAGTTTTCAAGTACCAATATTAATGTCATCTTAATGCATTTTAAACTTTAATGTCTTACGTTATGGTACCCTTCAAGAATTATGTGCATCAGCACATGGTAGAGAAAGTGCCTGCTGGCCTTAGTTTCTTTGACCCTGAGATTGTGTCTCTACCCCTCTGTCCTTACACTGGAAAGGAAGGCTCCTGTCAGCTTATGAAACAAGGTACTGTCCTAGTGTGAGCCTGAAAGAATTGTTTTGAAAATACAAATGTGCCCTACAGATTAAATTAAGAAGGAGATCACATAGTCACTCAGTTTAGGGCCTTACTTTGCATTAGTGGCCTATTTGACTGGACACCCATGTATGCCAGGCACCGCACTGGACCGGACTGGGCTGACAAGAGGAAAGCTCTCCTTTAGCCAGGACTGAAATCCTCAGGATTGCCTTGAAATTCCTCAAATCACCTTTGTATTTCAGGAATTAAACCCAGAAGGGTGACTTGCACAGAGCTGGGGCTCAGGGATGAGGTTGCAGTCCTAGAGGAAGATGTTTGGGCCCTAGTCCTTGAGAAATTGGGTGCCCAGATAGGAAACCATGGCTGTGCCTCCAGGACAGTGAAGAGAAGACAGAGTTCATTTTTTGTAACTTGAGCCAAGACAAGAGCTTGGTCCCAAAGAAACAACATGTGAACCCTGTCCTAGGGCAGTCTCAGAACAAGTCCAAGTAGGGTCAGGATTGTGACTGAGGCCCACAGTGACCAGCCTTGGGATCCTGAAATTCCTTCAACCTCCCATAGTCTGGAGCCAAGGCTAAACCTAGTGGTGAGGCCAGATTGAGTCAGAAATCCAACAGGTGACTGCAGTTTGAGGTACTGAAAGGACCTAACCAAGTATTGTTTACCTCTAAAGTAGACCTGGGACTTCTGCAGGGTGAAGGGGGTAGAAATGTTCATTTTAGTAAAATGCCAGAAGTCCAAGGCTTATGCCTATAGCCCATTAAATGCCTTATACATTCTGACTGATCAAAGGCTTTCTGCTTAAATCCCTGCTCCAACTTTACCGAGGACTCATTGTGGGCAAGTAGCCAGTCAGCATTTTTAAAAGCTGTGCATCCTGAAGCGCGAGAGGCTGCCCCTGAAAGGAAGACAGAAACCAGTTTGCTTATCCAGCCCACATGGGCCCCGGATTCTGTGCTGTGGTTTTATGCCCCATGTAAACATTCATCATAAGGAAGAGCCATGGAGAGACATCTTGCTGTTTGATCCTAGAGGAAGAAGTGTGAGCTTGCTTATTTTTGTTGTTTTTATATTACTGCCCCTGAACTTCCCCTGTTCCAGGTGAAAATTCATGCAGGCCCCAAGTTTGCTTCCTATCTGACCTTCAGCCCCTCCGAAGTGAAGTCGCTTCGAACTGAGTATGGGGACCTGGAATTGTGCATTGAAGTGGTGGACAGTGTCCAGGAGGCCATCGACCACATCCACAAGTACGGCAGCTCCCACACGGATGTCATTGTCACAGAGAACGGTCAGTGTCCAGATGCTTAATACATATAGGCGTTGCTTTTTCTGCTTTGATCTCCAAGGTGGTCCTGCTCTTCTCAGCCACTCTTGACCTCCTGGAAAACACAGTCTAAAAGACTAATGAGAGTGCCCGGTGTAGGTTGCATTTGATGGTTTGCCGAGTGTTTTCAAATAAATTTAAAAAAAAAAGTTACCGTCAAGTCGATTCTGACTCACAGCAACCCCATCTTGTCAGAGTAGAACTGTACTCCATAGGGTTTTTGGTGGCTGATTTTTAGGAAATATATTGCCAGGCCTTTCTTTTGAGGTGCCTCTGGGTGTAATCGAACCGCCAACCTTTAGGTAGCAACCAAGCCCATTAACCATTTGCACCACCTATGGACTTGTCACCTCATTTATATTGTCATAGCAGCCCACTGAGAAGAGGCAGGGCAGAGATGATTAGCTCCACTTTAAAGATGACTTAGTTGTCCTGGTAGCACAGTGGTTAAGGCACTCAGCTGCTAACTGAAAGGTTGGCAGTTCAAAATCACCAGCTGCTCCACAGGAGAAATATACGGCAGTCTGCTTCCATAAAGATTACAGCCTTGGAAACCCTAGTGGGCAGTTCTACTCTGTGCTATAGAGTCACTATGAGTTGGAATCAACTTGACAACAATGGCTTTGGTTTTTTGGTTTAAAGATGACTTACCTTGTGTCAGAGGCATTGTCACTTAATGCATACAACAATCTTATGACGTGGTTGGAATAAACTCATGTTACAGCTGAGGAAACTAAGGCCCAGGAACAACTAGTTAAGAACAGAACCAGTTGTCCACATTCATTCATTCACTCCACAAATATGTATTGAGGGGCATTCCTAGGTGTCATGCACTGGTGAAGGAAGCCAGAATGACCCCCTAGAGGAATTTAGTCAGTCCACTGGGTAATCACAAGGATACCACCAATAATACCTAACGTTTACTGAGCACTTGCCATGTGCTGGGCCCTGGGGTGAGTGCCCTGTGGGCATCAGCTCATTTAGTCCCCTCCACAACCCTGTAAGATAGGTAATGCTGTCAATTTCCATTTTAGTCAAGCACAGAGAGGTTCAGAAACCTGCCCTAGGCACCTAGCTAGTAGATGTGGAGTTGACATTCAGACCTAGGCCATCTAGCTCCAGAGCCCATGCTGTCAATCCCAACTCTGGGCTGCCTGTAAACAGGTAGTGTAGACAGGCCATCACAGCACCGAGGATACATCTGCAGTGGGAGAGCTGGATCCCAACCCACTCTTCCCCATGCCACAACTCCTTCCACGACACCGTGACTGATGATGCTAGTTTGCCTTCTTCCTCTTCAGATTTCTCACAAGCCCACATGTTTAATATGTAAGGGGACAGTTGGGGGCCTGAGCCCTGTTCTGGTCGGTTGCCAGTGAGTGGCTGGAAGCAGGGCTGTTATCATGGGTCATCCTAACTTGTTTTCTTCTCTTTCTTTATGCTACAGAGAAAACAGCAGAGTTCTTCCTCCAGCACGTAGATAGTGCCTGTGTGTTCTGGAACGCCAGCACTCGCTTCTCTGATGGTTACCGCTTCGGACTGGGTAAGAAAGACTCCAGTCGGGAGAAAGGAGTCTCTTGTGAATTGCTGTGTGGTCCAAGGAGCATGGCTAAGGCACAGGCTTGATCAAGATAATGGAGTCAGAGAATTGTGGAAGGTTGGGATTGCAAGAAAAGGAGAGAGGATAATAATAGCTACTATAAGTTGGTAGAAGTCCTGTGCTCTTGGCATTCAACATGTTAAGAAGGTACCAAAAAACCCAAACCCATTGCTGTCAAGTCTGTTCTGACTCATAGTGACCTTGTAGACAGAGCAGAACTGCCCCATAGGGTTTCTGAGGCTGTAAATCTTTATGGAAGCAGACTGCCACATCTTTCTCCCTTGAGTAGCTGGCGGAGTAGAACCACTAAACTTTTGGTAAGCAGCCAAGCACTTAACCACTGAGCCACCAGGGTACTCCTGTTTCCTTTTTCAGAGATGGGAAAACCAAGATTCAAAGAAGTGAAGTGACTTGCCCACATGGCACCCAGACCCAGGCTTGTGCAACTCCAGGGCCTTTGGTGGTTCCCACCACAGTGGGGCAGGCCTTGTAGCCCCCTCTTCAAGCACAGGTTGCACAGGTGCACGTGCTAAGATCCCTCAGAACAGTGCCATTGCAGATTTATTTCTTCAGAGTGACACAGCCAGATGGCCTCAGAACTAGGAACCCTACCTCCCACCCCCACCATGAGGATAGGAAAAAGGAAGGTGCTAGTGCCTGTACTGGGCTTACGTGTCAGCATCAAAAACAAACAGGTACGCCCAGAGCTGTAAGGTCAACTTCTAAAACAGACTTTGAAATAAAAAGCTTTAGAAAGATACCCTTTTCCCCCCTCTCGCATTTTTTTAGTTATGAAATCTTTAGTCCCTGTAGTATAGGAGTTATTCATTTTCTGGCTTTCAGGGCAGCCATTATACAGAGCTCCAATAAGACAGTTACGACACATTTTCTGAATATTTGAGGATTATTTCAACCACTTAAAACATTTTAATCTCTCTGAACTTTTCAATAAATGATCTGCCTATAGAAATAGTTCTCGCTGAATTGTTACAAGGTTATGAAAAGGTATTTTAGTCAGTTACTCTTAGTCCTTAGACCCTTTATTTTTAGTATCCTCATTTCTATTATATTGGGTTGATTTAATTATCACATCACTTGCACTGATCTTTGTACTCCATGTTCTTGAAGAAGAAATAGCAGCTTTCAAGCAAAACTCCAGAATGAGGGAAGAGCAAAAGACCACTCAGTTATCCTTCTAGCACCAGCTGAGAGCATACACCCAAAGTCTGGCTAAGTTATAGTCTCACGAAATATGTTCAGAACAGTGACAGCTAATATTTACTGGGTGTTTACTATGTGCCTCCCCCACGCATCTGTCGCTTTGTCATACTCTGGTGCCTTGCATGTTGCTATGATGCTGGAAGCTATGCCACCAGTATTTCAAATACCAGCAGGGTGACCCATGGTGCACAGGTTTCAGTGGAGCTTTCAGACTAAGACAGACTGGAAGGAAAGGCCTGGTGATCTATTTCCAAAAATTAGCCAATGAAGACATTACAGGTCACAAAAGAATACTGTCTGATACAGTGCTAGAAGATGAGCCCCACCCTAGGTTGGAAGACACTCAGAATACAGTGGATGCAACAATGGGCTCAAGCGTACCAACAATCGTAAGATGGCGCAGGACCTGGCAACATTTCATTTGGTTGTACATGAGGTCACCATGAGTCGGAACTGACTCAACAGCAGCTAACACCTGGCACTGTGCTAAGTGCATCCATGCATTATCTCACTTAGTTCTGTAAACTAGAACTATTATTTTCCAGATGAAAAAAAATGAAATGCTGAGAGAAGAGCTAGGTAACTGGGCCAACGTCACATGGTCTCTGCGATATTGAACCAGAATGTGAATCCTGGTGCTCTCACTCTCCTTGTCACCCACTACCTCCAGCACATCCCCACTGGGGTCTTTGCACTCGCTCTTCTCTCTGCCCGCAGCACCTCCACCTGGTCCTCCCGTGGCCGGCTTCTTCTCATCATTGAGGTTTCAGCTGTAATGCACCACCTCAGGGAGACTTTCTCTGACCACCGTAACTAGTGCAGTTCCCACCGCTACCCTGGCATGCAGTCTCTGTCATAGCACCCTTCACTGCTCTTAACCACCTGAAATTATTGCGCACAAGGATATAAGCTCCATGAAAACAGGACCTGTGGCTGTTATCCCCCTGTACCCCCAGGGCCCAGCACACTGCCTGGTACATAGCCCATACTCCATAAAGTTGTGATGAATGAGGGAACCCTGCCTCCACCATATACAGTGGAGAACACTGAGCCAGATCCATGAAAACCCTGAGCGTCCCACTAGTCTAAGCCTGGAGCAAGAGGGAGGGAGAATGACCAATAATCCTGTCATGTATTCAGTTACTATACAGTGAGTGCTGATATGCTAAGAATTCTGGGAGGATACTAAGAACATGCCCCTTACGTTCCTCAAATATTAAAGAATATTTGAAGAAATGAAGCCTCCATACTAAGCATTGTTGTACACCTCAGGGCATGCCCAAATGTCAAATTGTGGTACAGTTCCCATGCTGAACTGAGATCACAGACACGTGTTAAAAAAAAACAAAACCAAACCTATTGCTGTCGAGTCGATTCTGACTCATAGCGATCCTCTAGGACAGAGTACAACTGCTCCATAGGGGTTCCAGGGAGCGCCTGGTGGATTCGAACTGCCAACCTTTTGGTTAGCAGCCGTAGCTCTTAACTGCTATGCCACCAGGGTTTCCAGAGACACCTACAGTATTGTCAAAATGCAGTAGGGGATAAAGTCCAAGAAAGAGGCCCACACAATGTGTTTCATAAAAAGGAGGGGCCTGTCATGACCAGAGAAATCATAGTTATGGGGACAGCAGAGCTCCAGCTGGAACTGAGGAGGATGGGTCAGGAGTTGTCAGGGAGAGAGGGCAGCAAGTAAGAATGAGACATGGGTCTGGCAGGTGGACAGGAAGCCGAGGCTGTGAGACGCTACATCTTAATCCATCCCTTTTGCAGGAGCTGAAGTGGGAATCAGTACATCACGAATCCATGCCCGGGGACCAGTAGGACTTGAGGGACTCCTTACTACTAAGTGGTTGCTACGAGGACAGGACCACGTGGTGTCAGATTTCTCAGAGCATGGAAATTTAAAATACCTTCATGAGAACCTCCCTGTTCCTCAGAGAAACACCAACTGAAAGCTTTCAGAGAAGAGCCAGGAAAAACCAGGAATGATCCAAGGGGTTTTCACAGTTAACGCTCGTCTTAAATAATCTTACGGGATAAAGCAGGTCTTGTTTCTCAGTTCCTGGAAGAGCTTAGCTTTTGGGAAGTGCACCTAGATGCTTCTGGGCTCAATTTGGCAACATTAGTCTTGGCTCAACACTCCACCCCTGGCCTTTTTTTTTTTTAGTAAGAAAATAATTGCTACAGGTAGGGGCTTTGCTTTGCCCAGTCCAATTTCCTTTAGTGATCAGAACAGAAAGGTGCGGTCTCCCCACATAAAAGACAATGGAAAAATCATGGCCACTTTTTACCTTCTTATCACCTCAGTGAGGTAAAGTCTCCTTGGCATTTGGTTGGTACTAGAGCCAGTGATTTCTAAGATTTTTTTACATTTCATTTCTTTCACACTCAGTCATCTTCAAAAAGGAAAGATTTGGAATTTCAGAAGAAGGGCGGTTCTTTTTAGCATTCTCATCAGAAACAATCACAAGAATGGACTGAGTCATTTCCGCTGTGAAGCTTGACTGTTGGTATTTATTTCTGGAGTGAATAAGTAAGCATTCCAGGTGCTTGCAGCCTCTCCTGGTTCCAGAGAGTCAGCGTTGTGGGTGATCCAGGGGGTACTTGGAGTTGTAGACAGTGAGGTGCAAGCTTCCGGATGCTCCCCACTTAGTGAAAGGAATATCAGCTGCAGTTATGCTTGAAATTTTTATATGAATTATTTAATCATCTTATTCTCCTACCCCTTTCCCTCCAAAACAAAAATTATAGGAGTATTTTAATACTTTGTAATCCCCCCTTTTTGAGAAATAAAGTTCTTATGAAAAAGCCTGTGTGCGTGCTGAAAGTTTTCTCCCTTATTGTTGTTACCCTCTTCTTCCTTTTCCCTCCCTTGTGAACCTCGTGCCCCTGCTTTTAGGCATTGTCCATTCTCAGGGTACTCTGGTTGCCCAGACAGGAGGTTGGTTGAGAGACAGGGCATCTGCTTCAACCATGTCGGGTAGTAGCACAGGCAAGGCCCCAGGGGAGAGGAAAGGAAAATAGGAGATGAAACCCCAAGAGTTTAAAGACAAAGCGTGGAGAAGGTCTGAAGTCAGTGGAAGTCTACGATGTGAGTCATGCCCTCACAGCCTCCCTAGGTGGGCAGCCATATTCCTCAGCCACTTGGCCGGCCATGGCCCAGCTTACATCCTTAGTTCACTTTGGATGTAAATAACTTCACTCTCCCAGGCTTCTCCCTGCCAGCTTCTGTTGCCTCAGGATTGCCTGCTTAATTGACAGTTCTAACCCCTCACCTCCCTCCCTCAGTCCAGCTCCTCTTCTTAGGGCTCCTGGTGCCAGGGAGTCTGAAGTTGACAGATTTCTTGTCTCAAGGGGGCCCTCCTGAAGAAGTAAGCACATGCTGCTGCTTATCCTCTGAGGACATTTTATGAGCACAAGAATTACGGTGTTGCATGGAACATATTCCCAGGCTGGCTCCAAACTATACCGCTCGACCCTTACCATAGTCTGGCAAATTACCCTGCCCTGCCCTCTGAAAGGAAGTTCTGGCACAGCTTGCCTGAAAAGGCAGTAAACAAGATCCTGCTTGACACTGTCGCAAATACCACAAACAGCTCCCAACTAGACAATAAATGTCCCAGGAGTCTAAAATAGAAAGGGACCCGAGGGGGCCTGGACTCTTGGGGGAGACCACGGACAAGGCAGGCCTGGCTCTGGGTGGGCTTTGAGAAAGATGAGTCCTAGGTGGAAGGAGTGGGGAGAGCCTTCAGGTAGGAACTGGTGTGAGCAAAACCCAGAGATGGTAAGACTAGGGAAGAGTGAAGATGTTAATTTTGGGTAGAAGCTTATGTGGGTAAACAGCCTTGTTGATATAATCTACTGGAGCCACTGTTCTTAGGGCTTGGAAGGGTTGTTAGTCTGGGTTCTCTAGAGAAGCAAAAGCAGTGCAGTGTATAAATATATATACAGAGATTTGTATCAAGGAAATGGCTCACACGGTTGTAGAGGGTGGAAGCTTTTCCTGACTCAAGGAGTCGCAGGTGCTGGTGAATCCAAGATCAGACAGTCAGACAGCAGGCCGCTGGCTCGCAGGCTGTGGAGGCTGACGAATCCTAAGATCAGCAGGTAAGACGATAGGTAAGCTGCTAGCTCGAGTCCTAAGAACCAGAGGTCAGATGAACCGGAGCCAGCTACAGGGTCCAGAGTGAGCAAAACCAGTGAGCCTTGCCAGAAAGTGGATGTAGGCCACACCTCCAAGGAAATTCTCTTTCAACTCATTGGCTGCTCACAACAGATCTCATGATGGAGGTGATCACATTATATTAGATATCATTAAGGAAGTGATTACATCATTAAATAGCTGCCAAAGTACATCATAACTGCCAAACTACTGAGAGCCATGGCCTAGCCAAGATGACACACACCTTAATCATCACGAGGGGGGTGGAGTTTGGTTTGGAAAACACAGGTAAAGCTCAATTAACCCAACAAGGCCATTTCCCCCATGCAGAAAACTTGGCCTTAGTCAATTTTCACAGAGATCATAGACCATCAGTTTTATCCCTTTCTCCACCAAAGATAGAGACACCCCAAAAAAGCCAGAAGGCAACCAGCCTTACAAGTACCCCCACCCAGGCAGTCTTCCAGTATTCACTGGCTTGCCCTAGCTCTAGGAGGGGGGCCTTTTATTCTGAAATCCTGCTTGTAGTCCTGCCCTGGTACTTCCTTTTTCTGGCCACTAACTCCTAGCTATTTCTCTCTTCTCTTGTCCCTGGTCCTGGATGACAAAATAGGTCACTAAACCAACTAATCCTTAAACCTCACCTCCCCTCAAAGCAGGGGAGACAACAAATGTCATTGTTCAAGCCAGTTTTGGGGTTTCTGTTACTTGCAGCCAAAATTATCTCAACAGATATGTTATGAGGGCATTTATGAAATTACTTGTATGGAAAGAAAGGTGGGTAGTCAAGGATTAGATTTTAATAGAAACATGCTATTTGTCTGCCCTTTATCCCTTATTTTATAGAGTCATCTTTTCTTGATCTGTGTGGTTCAGGGAAGGGTGGTGATGTCCCCCTATCCCACCATTTTTGGTGGTAGTGACGTGATTCAGGCCTGATTGAGTATTCCATTCCCCTGCTTACAGTGATTACTTCAGGGCCAGGTATGTGATCTAAACTTGGCCAAACATGCTATTTGGAATGCCTGCTGTGATTATTAGGAAAAGTGAACTCTTCCTCTGGAGTTATGAACTACAAGTCTCAAGGTCTGAATCTGACAGTATCCACTCTTCCTACCATGTAGAGAGAGATTATGTAAGAAGTACCCAACACAGAGGAAAGGGAACCACAGGATATACACAGAAAGATTTTTGCCTACCTTGTTCCATTTATGCCTGAAGCTCACCCCTGGGCTCAATCCAATAATTTCCTTTTTTGTTTATGCTAGTTTGAATGGGCTTTCTATCCCTTACATCTAGCAAAATCTAGATAATACACTTGGGTTCAAATCTCTGCTCTGCCACTTGTTAACTGGCTGACCTTGGGCAAGTTAATTAAATTCTGTAAACCTCAGTTTCTTCATGGGAATGTTGATAGCCCTATGTCCTAATAGGTAATATATAAATATTTGGCACAGCACTGGCACATAGCAAGCACTCAATAAGCAAGAGATGGTCACTTTGCTGTGATTTTTCTGGTGCCTGGCTGTGTGCTGGCTCTGCCCTCCACAAGAGCCCAGAAATTTGTATAGGGTCGCTATAAGTCAAAATTGACTCGATGGCAACGGGTTTGGTTTTGGGGTTTTTTATGAGACAGAACAACAGTTTTCAGGACCCAGATTTTCCCATGAAACTGAGTCTGGTCACACCTAGCTCTCCAAAACCCCAGCCTTCACCCACAACATGACCAATGAAGAACAGGGCCACTGAGTCTGATCAAACATTTACACATTTGCAGTATGTGGGCGACTGCTACTGAGAAGGCCGAGGACAGTGATGGCGAAAAAAGAGCATGAGGCAACAGAGAACCTATTCTAGGCCTGGGAAAGGGAAGGTGAGACCAGGTGAATGTCATCAGCTACCTGGAAGAAGACAGGGGAGGGCTGGAGAGGAGCAAGGGGTGGGAGCAAAGCAGGCAACTTTGGGTTTCTAGATACTTATATGTGAGCACTGAAGTGTCACATAAATAGCTGCAGAGTATGTGTGCTCTTCAGAATTGGAAATTCATTTTAAAATCTCTAAGCAAACAGAAAGATTTTGTATATTTGGATGAATCATTGGGAAATCTTGCCCGGCTAAGGCTATAAATCTGCTAATCATGTCTGTTTTTTGACTTAGGGGCAGGTGCTGTTGAAGCCATTACTTCTTTCATCTCTCTCTCAAATGTAAATGTCAAGGTATTATTTCTGGGCAGTATTATGTGCCCTGTTATAGATAGTGAAGGAGCCCTGGTGGCACAGTGGTTAAGTGCTTGGCTACTGACCAAAAGGTTGGTGATTCAAACCCACCAGCCGCTCCACAAGAGAAAGATGTGGCATTCGGCTTCCGTAAAGATTACAGCCTTGGAAACCCTATGGGGCAGCTCTACTCTGTCTTATAGGGTTGCTATGAGTCACAATCGACTCGATGGTGAGGGGGTTTGGTTTTTGGTTGGTATGATAGTACTCAGAGCAGCAGCAACAGCAATGGACAATGTTTTCAAGTACAAGTAATAGAAATCCCAGCTCAAACTAGTTTTAGCAAAGAAAGAGGATTTATATGTTTACATAACTGAGGAAGTCCAGACATATAGTTCGGGTATGGTTTGATCAGGGCTCAGGCTCTATTTCTCTGTAGTTTTCTGTAAGTCAGTGGTTCTCATACTTCAGCATTTGTCAGAATCATCTGCAGAGCTTACTAAAATAGACTGCTGAAAGGTAGAAACAACCCAAATGTCCATCAGCAGGTGAATGAATAAATTGTGGTATATTCCTACAATTGAATATTCAGCCCAAAAAAGGAATGAGATACTGATACATGCTACAATGTGGATGAACCAAAATATGAAACTAAGTGCAAGGGGCCAGACACAAAAGCTCACATATTATAGGATTCCACTTACATGAAATATCTGGAATAGGTAAATCCACAGAGACAGAACGAAGATTGGTGGCTGCCAGGGGCTGAGGGAAAGGGAGAATGAGGAACAACTGCTTAACGAGTACGGGGTGATTCGGGGGTGATGAAACTGTTTTAGAACTAGGTAGAGGTAGTGGTTGCACAATACTGTTAATGTACTAAATGCCGCTGAATTGTTCACTATAAAATGGTTAATTTTATGTTATGTGAATTTCACCTCAATTAAAAAAAAATGTAGATTGCTGGGACCCACCCGAACAGTTTCTGATTCAGTAGGTCTGGGATAAAAAAAAAAAACAAGCCCATTGCTGTTGAGTCGATTCCGACTGATAGCGAGCCTATTGGACAGGGTAGAACTGCTGCGTAGGGTTTCCAAGGAGCTGCTGATGGATTTGAACTGCTGACCTTTTGATTAGCAGCCGAGCTCTTAACCACTGGGCCACCAGGGCTCCAGGTCTGAGACAGGGGTCGAATATTTGCATTTCTAGCAAGTGTCCAGTTGCTGTTGCTGCCGCCTATGGTCTCTGGACCACACTTTGAGAATCACAGCTCTAGATGTCTGCCAGTAGCAACCTGTCCACACTGTGTGTGTGTGTGTGTGTGTGGCAAGGGAGGGGGGTGTTTCTTCCCACTGCTGTCCAACAAAATTCCTAAATTCCATTCTTATTAAACTGGCCTGAGTCAATCACCGTAGTAAATTG